TAGAACTTTTCATTCTTCCAGATTCTTCATGATCAGGAACATACAATGTTGATAGCTGACTATCAAAGACAAACAACTATCTAAGGAGTTTTCGGCAAAGACGGAATCGACTGTTGAAGAACTAAGCTGATCTCAGTGGAAGCTTGGGAGAAGTTCTGCTATGATAGGGTGGGTATTCCATTAAAAATAATTGGCTTAAATGGAAACTGAATAGAGATGTAGCTACTTTTATTTATTTATATATTCTGGATTAGAGGATTTTTTAAATGTTATTTTTTTAAACAAGTAGGTACATCCATAACTGTGAAATCATAGTGCTGCATTTGACTGATAGACAATGTGGCATTGTTTACTTGCCACAGGACTGAGGCAGGAGACCGAGGTTCTAGTCTCAATGTTGCCACTGACTGGACATATACTGTACAGTCTTGGGAAAAATCACATAACTGAGCTGGGTCTCAATTAGTCTCATTTTACACATGGGGAAAAAACTATAATACTGTTGTTACCTATCCCAAGTTGTGCTGGGAATGCTAATTTGTTAGTTTGTAATACACATTAAAATCAGTAAGTGCATCCTTCTGCTACAGCACCCAAGAGCATGCTCAGTCAAATGCTTTATACGGATTTGCAAATTATGTGACAAAACTCTTTATCTGAATAGGGTTTTTTTCAGTAAAAGGTGAATTAAGAGGGTGTCAGGATTTAAAGAAATAACTAATCTGACCTCCAAGAGAGCCATTTTATGGTGGTCTCATGTTTGCTAGCATTGGAATGAAAATAATATACTTTTAAAATATTGATTGATTCTTTTTCTGTATGGGGTGGGGGATGTTATCTTCTAAAAGGATATTTATCTTATTAAAATAATAAAAAAGAGTGTTTCCTTGAACCAGACTGTTTCTATGAGCATTTATTGTTCTATAAATACTATTTTATTTCTCTGAATTGCTTTCACGTTCACTCTGTCATCATTGAGCAGAAGAAAGAGGCAGGGCAGCTGAAGCACAACAACATTGCAAAATATGAATTAACCACTTCACTTAATTGGTTTGATTCCATAATGTATAATTTATACCAGCTAATTATACAGCTTTTGTCATTTAAATGTTGAAGTAAATGCATCCCATCAACTTCTTCTGAAGCTTATTTTAACAATTGGAAGCCAGCCACAATCATCCTGGAGGCTAGCTGAGAATAGTCTGACACCAGCATGTTAAGGCTTAGTACATTAGCTTCATGAAAGAATGTGCTGAATTGTCTTTTTACTTAAACAGTTCTCCCTATGCATTACTAGCTGAAGAGTGAGAATACCCGTTAGCTGAAACACATCTGAATGTGAATTGCTTTCATCCAGACCCGGCCTACACTAGAAAATTAGGTCAACATAACTACTTCCCTCAGGGGTATGAAAAATAGTCACCCTTGAGCAGTGTAGTTAAAACAGCCTTAATCCCCATCAACTAAGCTACCACATCTCAGGTAGGTGGATTACCTACACTGACGAGAGAACCCCTCCAATTGACATAGGTAGTGTCTATGCTGAAGCACTACAGAGGCTCAGCTGTGCAACCGTACCATTTTTAAGAGTGGATATACCCCCAATCTTCTCCATCCAAAGTCTCCTTTCTTTCCCCGAAGATGTATTACCGCACATTCTTGATTAAATTGTTCCTGACATCAGCTTTATTCTACAGACCACATTTTCACTCCCTCACCTCTTTGGTAATATAAAGGACCTTTGGATATGAGAAGATGGTCTCCGTGTTTACAAATGTATTCTGTCTTTATCTAGGAATCATGCTCCATAATTTAGAATGGAAGAATAATCAGAAGAGTTAGTCATAATAGACATGAGAAACCCCTATGGAAACATATTCCTACTAATGAAAACTTTAAAACCATTCATCCTTCCAGTTATATGAAAGTCCATGGAAGCAGGTTATCTTGCTTTACAAAATGTGGGTCAAGAGTTACCTGCAGAACAAACAGCTCAATCACAGATTTATAATGCTTCAAGGTTTTCCTGTTTTCTCACTGGTCCACCTTCATTACTTAAAAATACACAAGAAGGAACTTCTCTGTTGAATACTTTCAAAAGCGTATTTCCTAAATAAAAATGCCGTGTTCAGCAGGACAGTCAATAATCTTTCATCTCTAGAATCTGCTATCCTGTCTAAACCCACCTAGCTCTTTAAAGGAGCCTCAGTGAAAGAAAAGTGGTGTGTGCTTGAAATTTTTTTGGCAAGCTTAAAATCCATTATTTATCAGTGTATAGTTCCTTCCTACTATTAATAATATATGGTATCTCACTTTTGTTGGGAAAAAAAGTCCTAACTGAATTCAGAAAATAAGCCTAAACCTTATTCTATTGTAATGAATAGTTTCTCACTCTGTAGGATAATGTGGTGTGCAGCATCTTTGGCAACAAGAGTAGTTGCCCTATTAATGGACCCAATTTTGTATGGTCCTGAGCAACTTTGGTGAGATGCCAAATGCCTCAATTGCCCTGGGTCATGGACTCCATAAAGACATTAGTTTTCTGTCTCATTACAACAATCTGTAACCCACTAACCCTCCTTTGTCCTACCTATGACAGCAAAGGTGTTAATTGCCCACTTCATCTTGAATGGTTTCTTGCAATGTGTTAACTCCTTATGTTTACTAATCTGTTCCAGCTTGTATTTAGTTGTGACATTCTGATTACCTTTGCCAGACTTGAAGAGCTGTGTGGAGCTCAAAATCTTGTCTCTTTCACCAACAGAAGTTGGTCCAATAAAAGATACTATGTCACTCACCTTCTATCTCTCAATTCCTACTGAAATAGATGAAGGCATTCAGGGCCTGGCCCGCCTGGGCCTAATATGGAGGCTTAACACCAAACAAAAAATATGCACTAGAAACGCATTAATTGTGACAAGCCAGGGTGGGATTCACAAAGGTACCTAGGTGCCTAACTCATTGATTTCAATAGGAGTGATGCATCTAAGTACTTTGTGAATCGCACGTCTCAAGTGGGTGTCCAGATTAAGGGGAGGTCCACACTACAAAATTACTCTGGTATAACTACATCATTCAGGGATGTGAAAAATGCACACTGATGCTAATCCACCTCTGTGAGAGGCCATAGCTATTATGCCAATGGGAGAGTCCCCATTAAGCAGCGCCTTTGCTATTACTGTTCTGAAAAAGCCGTAATCATTACTTTTCATTAAGCTAAACCTGTTCCCTCTGTGACACACCCAATAAAGACTGTTTCAGTGACATGGTTACCCTGATTATGCAAGTTCTTACTGAAAGGAATACCCAATATCATTCTCTCACATTTTAGCCTTTGGCCATACTAAATGTATGTTACTTCCATTACACACTGTGCACCTCAGATATTATTCCCATCTGTTTCATCAAGAGCTATAGCTATTAATTGACTTCTGACATTTGATATAATAAGAGAGAAAAGGTTTACAACTCTCAGTATGCAGAGAAGAGCAGAAACTTGATCTGTTGATATTTTAACCACTGCATAAAGCCTTGACTGGACTAAAAAGTCATCACTACAGACATACATGAAATAAGACCTTTAAAGCTGTCTTTTTGGAAGTGTAAAAAATAATCTCCTGGTGTCTCTATTTTTGTTAAAAAGTATATTTTGTTCCTTTGCACTTTGAAATGTTTCAGTCTATTAAGACAGATGGTCACATAAAGTAATTTCGGGGGCTGATTAAAGCCCATAGTAGCAGAGAGAGTAAAAGGTACAACTGAAAATCTGCTGGAAGAAGAGCTTTGTGAACCTTGCTACACTGGAAATCTCTGTTTGATATTCTGAGGGAGGTTCTTGAATCTCTCCAGAAATGCAGTGAATTCCATTCCGGAAGATGGGAAGAATAAATGTTGGAAAGAAAACAATAGTCTCACGAAGACATAGGTGTAATCTGAAGCCTCTGTCACCAAAGAGCCAGTTATATGTACTGCAATTACAGTGTGGAATGTAAGGAATGTAGGAATGTAATCAAAACCATGTAGGAATGTAATCAAAACAAGGTAGAACCATATAAATAGTGGCATATAAATAGACTCCTGTGCCATCACTAAATTGTTCATTCAAATATTCTAATCTAATAATAGAAGTTTGTCTTGTTGACTGTCATTTAGCAACTAAGGGTGGGATTCACCAAGGTATTTAGATTCCTAACTCCCATTGAAACCAGTAAGAGTTAGGTGCCTAAATACGTTTGTGAATCCCACCCTAATAGTTTGGCATAACTACCCAAGTTTACAAGCTCGATTTTCAGACTTCATGAGCACTCACAATTCCAATAGTCTTCAAAAAGATCTGCACGTGCTTCTGAAAATCACCACCCTATCAAACAACCTTTTAAAATGAGTACATTTCTGAAAAGCTTGATTTCAACTAATTTATATAAAGATCTTTAGTACATGATCTCTATTCCGATTCTATGAATATTTTCCAGTACAGACTTAACCTCGATGGGCCCAGATGGCACAACAGTGTTGCACCTGCTAATGACAACAATTATTCTGACTAGTAGTACTTCTACCAAATATTGCTTCTTAGTTGTTTCTTTGTACAATGCCAGCTTATACCTTTAATAAAAGGGCCAGGAATGTGTGACCCACCCTCGAATGCAAAACGTTTATAATCAGGAGACATTTGAAGAGTAACATCACCTTTCCCTGGATAAAATATATGTCCCGAACTGATGTTATAAAAAAATATAACTGCTACCAGCTATGGGCCTGATCTTGCAAAATGCTGCATACCCTCATTTCCCACTGGATGTTTGGCAACTTGCAAGATTGGGCCTTGTGTTCTTTAAAACAGTTCTTGTCTTAGCAAAGATCCAGTCCATAATTTTCCGTCATGCATTAGAGTTCCCTTCTGTCTGGCCTCCAACCCAAGAAATTCTGTAAGGGAGTCTTCACACTGATGTTATAAACTACACTCCTTTCGAAATTAGTGTATGTAAAATCAAACATACTCTTGGGAAATCTGGGTGGGTTGTCATTGACATCGGTGAGAGTTATGTTTACAGTGGTAGTTCCAGCTAATCCTCCCAGCTGTCCTCCCATATCCTTGGCTTGGATGAGGACTTGATATTGTTCTTTGACCTCTCTGTCCATGTTTGGCAAAGCTGTTCTTATTACACCTTGGAGGGAAAAAAGAAAAGAGAAACACAATATATATAAAACAAAGCCTTGGCAAAGGTTTTGTTTACAGAATAATATTCTTTCCTATGTACGCTGATGGTCAGATTCCGCAAAGAGTTCATCAACTGGCAGTTCCCATTTAGATACCTGAATGAAGTGCTCAGATTTCTAAAAGAGCCCAGTAGTCAGCAGCTCCCATAGAGAGACTCACATTGATTTCAGTGGGTGACCAGAAGGAAGCTTGATTACACAGTAGTATTTCAGGGGCTGTCTCCCCCGCCCCACTTTAATCCACCATCCAAAATGTGGGTTTGTTTGTTTTTTTGGATGGTGGATTAAGACTGACAAGTGTATTTTCACTAGGGATGTGAATGAGAAGAGAGTGAATGGAAAAGTCATAAGGGGCAGTGTGGCTAAAAGCACAGGGACATGAGTGGGAGAAGAAGGGGTGAGGTGTAGACCAAAAAAAAAAAAAAAAGGTAGAAAGTGGTGAGTAGTCATCACTACTTCTCAGACTGTCTCTGTCATCACTACTTCTCAGACTGTCTCTCCTGTATTTGAAACAAAATATCCACTATCACCACCAATGTAGTGAGGTTCCATTGGTCAAGATAACATCCTTCTGTACAAAAAGTGGGGTTTGGTCACAAAAGTATCGATGTTCACCTGCTACAGACATTGCCGAAAATGCTCAGACACTTTTTGAATAGAGTATGGTAAATATCCTACCTGCAGTTGCAAACACAAAATTAGTCATTAATCAATTGTGTTTTAATCTTGAGTGACTCTGAACAGTTGGCATCTAACTATACCTTCTGTAGCATTCTTTCTGTTATGTTAAACATTTTTATAATAATTATAAAGGTTTTATATAAACATTGATGTAATAACGTTTTTATGTTAAAAATGTAGGCTCTTGTGACCAAATTCATGGGAAAAGGTATGTTACCTTGTCATAAGCCAACACTGTATAATGCAATATAATTAAACAATATTTCTCAGAAATGGTTCGATACAGGCAGTTTAATGCAGACAACCTGTGTGGTTACAAAATAAGCCAGTTGGAGAAGGATTATTATTATTTCAGAAATTATTATCTATGAACATTAGGCTGGTTGGTTTTAAAATCTGTCTTTTTCCCTTTTGTTACAATGTACACAGAGTGATAAGAAAAAAATCTCTCTTGGGATGCTTGTTATTTCTTTGGCAATTAACTCGTGTGTCAACCAGTAAGAATGGAATCAGTTAGTTTATAACTCTTGCTAGGAGTCTAAAAATAACTTTGGCTTCGATTCACCACTGGTTCAACTGATCAAAAATTCCTAATAAAATTGATTGTATAAGGATGAAGATTCCTTTCATTTGCAACATTGATGATAATAGGAACAATTATTGAAAATAATGTACTGCCTTCTTCCTCAGCATGGCAGTTAGGGCACTAAATAATAACTAACGTCTGAAACAATTAAGCATATGTGTGCATAGTTTTGAAACAAGGGTTGTGATTCTTTTCTTTTCAAAAACTCAATGCTATTCAAAAGGCTCCACTTTTCACGGTAGAGTTTAAAGCTCCAGGAATATAAAAATAACTGAAAATACATATTTAAAAAGTGAATAAAATACTAAAAAGCCCTACTAGCATCATTAAAAATGGGAGTCATTGGAGACTGAAAACAGAAAGGGAAGTATTTTAAATCTTTGGGGGGTTTTTAGTGGCAAAAGTCCTTTTGTAAATTGAGACAACACTATCAGGCTTCCACTGAAACCTCTTCCCCTTTCCATGATTTTACCTCCTGAAATGTTTTACAACATATTTCTTATACTCAAGTCCAAGGAGTAAACAACGATGGAAATCAATTTTTCCCCTTGTTATACTAGTAGAAGAGAGCAAAATAATAATAATTAAATAAATAAAATTGATGTGTTCAGCAATCAAAGAAACAAGCAGAGAATATTTCATGAACACGAGGTGCAGTTCACCTTGATTTTTACATTATGTTTTAAGATAGCATTGGTTAGCTTTAAATCTGTTAAAAATCTTCCTAATGGATTACAGTACATAAACAATTGGTTGTCACTCTAGCAGTGAACTTCCTAATCACCCACTGCTTTTCCTGTCTGGAAGTTGGAAGCATTCTGTAGCTTTTCCAATAAGAGATCTCTGTCTCCAATAAAAAATCAGTAAGAATAATGTAAATGTCAAAAATAGTCCAATGGCAATATTTTCCTTCACTTTGCACTCTATATTAAAAGACTAAATAAAGATGAAAAACAACATTTTCTATAAAAAAGCATGTGTTTATATGGATGTTTCAGAGAGCACATTTAAGAATCTCACTAGAGCAAATCATTATATGGAATAATGATTAACAGGAAAGAACCCATTGCATTTCTTCTTCCTCTTCACAAAAAATTAGAATTTTGAAATCAAGGCTTATTGTAATGCTAGATCTACATGGATTCAGTACTGCACTGAATGTTCCCAGCTTTTACCATTTTAAATTTTTTAGCGTTAACCAAGAGGGCTGCAGAATTGAATAATATTTAAAGGGTTTGTTTGTTTGTTTGTTTGTTTGTTTGTTTGCAAGGAATACAGATAGTGAATGTGAACCGACATACAACGTCCCTGGGGTTGCCAAAAGACCAACAAGTATAAGCTCAGGACCCAATCCTATCATGAGTTCTATGCAGATAGGCCCTGCACCTGGATGATCTCCAGTGATCTTAATGGAGAGTCGGGGATCTGTCCACATGGAACAACTTTGAGTATGTGAGCCTCTGCGCCTGATCTTGTAACGAAGTTCATGAGTTAATACTAATGTGAGCAGTTCTCTTGGTGTGAATATAACCCCTCTAATGGCTTTCATGTACCCTTGTATATTGCAAGTTAATGTTGCTCAGAGTAGCATTAATCTATATGCTCATTTCTGATATTAGTTCCACTTGAGTAGCATGTTCAGAGGGGTTGATAGGGGATGTGTGATATATGGGGTTTCCCCTCTGCATGACTTTCCTGGGCTCTTCTTATGTAAGCTTTCCCCATCTGCTCCACTCAATACTGAGTAACAAAAGGCAGCATATACCCCCAAAGATCTAAAACAATGCAGGGAATGCTGGTGGGGATATAATCAGGTGTTACATGAGAAATATAGATACCTGAATTCAGCTTGTGGCTGGTTAAAGCTTTTCAGTTCACTTTTAAATTCCTCTCCATTTCCCACAAGATTTAATCCAAAAAGAAGCATTAAGATTAAGATTTTTTTTCAGGTGTCTGAAAAAGTCAGATTTTGATTTTCAAAGTAGAGTCGTCGAGCCAGCCTGCAATATGATCTACTGCTAAATGGAGCATGTGACAGAGGAACGTGCCCTTTGGAGATTCTGCACTAACAGTGTTGTGCATCTCCCATCTCCAATTATTGATTCATCTGTGAGAAAGTCTTTAACATGCCATCTGACATTCAAGTACAGCTTCACTGGGAGAAGAAATTCCATTTGTTGAAAAGGGCATATGGGTGACTATTCCTGTGCAAGTTCAAGATATAGTTTGTAGCATTTAGTGTGTACATTCTAGGTTCACTGAATTATTAAATATAGAAACAGGAATGGCATTTAAAAAAGTAGGGCACGATAAAATATTTCTTCTCTGACAACACATCTAACAACCTCAGACCAACATCCTGTGCCCCAGCAAAAGAAGAGGTCAGGGACCAATCAGCTGTCCACATTCTCAAGTTAAAAAACATGAAACACAAGAATTACTGCTAGAGTATTCAGAGTAACAGCCGTGTTAGTCTGTATTCACAAAAAGAAAACGAGTCCTTGTGGCACCTTAGAGACTAACCAATTTATTTGAGCATAAGCTTTCGTGAGCTACAGCATCCGATGAAGTGAGCTGTAGCTCACAAAAGCTTATGCTCAAATAAATTGGTTAGTCTCTAAGGTGCCACAAGGACTCCTTTTCTTTTTGCTAGAGTATTCTTCATTCTAGGCAATCAGACTGCAAATTGAGTCAACAGGATGAAGACTTGAGATTTGGAGTCAAAACATCCAGGAAAAAAAAAGAGAGAACACACAACTGAACAGCACTTAAAGACAAAAGTAATCTTAACAACATGGAAATAACAGTGCACCAGGAAAGACCTCTTCAACACATACATACTTTAGGCATTCCAAACTATATGGCAGGTTGCAATTTATTCAAAACCCAGTCTGCGCACAAAGCAAATGTATGATGATGTATTGGCCTTTGGGTGTATCGGAGCATTAGGTATTTATTTCTAAACATGCCAATAATAATGCCCACTTCGATGTTTAATCAAAGTTTAAATGTTTGAAAGGGCAATATAATATTGTTGCTGATGAAACATTTACCTGTCTTAGGATCAATGGAGAAGTATGGTTGCCCCTGAAGAATACTATAAACCACTCTGGCACTGTTTCCATATGTAGGATCATCAGCATCTGTAGCTTTAACCTGAAGTACATATGCACCTAGAAAAAAATGCAGATGTTTTAATTTCCAAAAGAAAACAAAGATCAGGAATATTGCTAACATATTGTATAGCTTAGCCCCTTTTGATGAAGGCATTTGCTGTAACTCCTGCTTCTTTGGAAACAGGGAGAGAACAATGTAATGTTTCAGCCCCACACTGACATAAATGTAAGTAGCAGTTGCAGCAGACGGGGAAGGGAAGAGAAGGTGGGCAGGCACCCATGCTTCAGAATACACTTACCAGCAAGTTGGAGAGGAGGGGTGTTGTGAGGGAAAGTAGGCCAGTTGCCCACCCTTGGATATGTAAATATGTGTGGGAGTAATAGGATAATCAATTTCCCCTTCAAGAGATGTCTAAAGGCAAGGGGAGCCCACCTATGCCCTTTTGGAGGGAGGGTATTTCTTGTGTGTTCTGACAGTTTTACAACACTCACTGGGGACCATGCAGTTTACCAGTCTGGCTTTGAGGGTTTGAATCTGCATAAACACCAAACTCCAAGTGCAGCCTGGGAGTCCCAACACTTTGCAAACCAAAATCATCAGCAGAGTTTGCTGACATTCATGTGAGGGAATTATTAGGTAAATTGGAAAAAGATGGGGATCAATATGAAATTTGAATATGAAAACTGAAAGGTGGATAAGGAACTGGTTAAAGGGGAATCTACAACGGATCCTACTGAATGGTGAACTGTCAGGCTGGAGGGAGGTTACTAGTGGAGTTCCTCAGAGATCGGTTTTGGGACCAATCTTATTTAATCTTTTTATTACTGACCTTGGCAAAAAAAATGGGAATGTGCAAATGAAGTTTGTGGATGACACAAAGCTGGGAGGTATTGCCAATACATAGAAGGACTGGGATATCATTCAGGAAGATCTGGATGAACTTGTAAACTGGAGTAATAGTAATAGGATGAAATTTAATAGTGAAAAGTGCAAGGTCATGCATTTAGGGATTAATAACAAGAATTTTTGTTATAAACTGGGGATGCATCAGTTGGAAGTAACAGAGTATTGGTTGATCACAGGATGACAATGAGATGCCAATGTGATAGGGCCGTGGAAAAAGCTAATGCGGTCTTGGGATGCATCAGGCAAGGTATTTCCAGAAGAGATAAGGAGGTGTTAGTACCATTATACACGGCACTGGTGAGACCTCATCTGGAATACTGTGTGCAGTTCTGGTCTCCCCTGTTTAAGAAAGATGAATTCAAACTGGAACAGGTGCACAGAAGGGCTACTAGGATGATCCAAGGAATGGAACCTGTCTTATGAAAGGAGACTCAAAGAGCTTGGCTTGTTTAGCCTAACCAAAAGAAGGCTGAGATGATTGCGCTCTATAAATATATCAGAGGGATAAATACCAGGGAGGGAGAGGAATTATTTAAGCTCAGTACCAATGTGGAGACAAGAACAAATGGATATAAACTGGCCATCAGGAAGTTTAGACTTGAAATTAGACGAAAGTTTCTAACCATCAGAGGAGTGAAGTTCTGGAACAGCCTTCCAACGGGAGCAGTGGGGGCAAAAGACCTATCTGGCTTCAAGACTAAGCATGATAAGTTTATGGAAGGGATGATATGATGGGATAGCCTAATTTTGGCAATTAATTGATCTTCAATTATTAGCGGTAGATCTTCCTGATGGGATGTTAGATGGGGTGGGATCTGAGGTCCTACAGAGAATTCTTTCCTGGGTGTCTGGCTGGTGAGTCTTGCCCACATGCTCTGGGTTTAGCTGATCGCCCATATTTGGGGGCGGGAAGGAATTTTCCTCCAGGGCAGATTGGCAGTGGCCCTTGGGGTTTTTCACCTTCCTCTGTAGTATGGGGCACAGGTCACTTGCTGGAGGATTCTCTGCACCCTGAAGTCTTTAAACCACGATTTGAGGACTTCAATAGCTCAGACATAGGTTAGGAGTTTGTTACAGGAGTGGGTGGGTGAGATTCTGTGGCCTGTGTTGTGCAGGAGGTCAGACTAGACAATCATAATGGTCCCTTCGTACTTTAAAGTACATGATTCTATGAAAAAAACAGGCCACATATTTAGGTGTCTACATTTGGATATAGGCGCTTAATTTTAGACAAGATTGAGTATTTGGACCTCTTCCTTTTTGTCCATAGGTTTAGTAACACAGCCACAAATATTGCTTACTTTTGTATATCGGCTCACCAGCGAAACTCTGATTTCCAACTTAGTGGGGTATCAAGCACTTTAGTGTCATCTGTCATCCTTGTTTCTAGTAACAGGGATTCTACAGTGATGTTTATGAATAATATTGGGTCTAAAGACCTCACTTACAATAATAAGAACATTTCTCCAAACCTGAAAAGACATATTAAAAGTGCTGGGGGCCTAATCCTGCTCCTGCCATTGGAATTTTGCCATTACCAGTAGCATCAGACCTTTGAAGAGGCTTATTTATTTATTTACAAAAATCTTCCCGAAACACATTAAATGGACACTGGTGAAAATATAGTGCCAGATCTAGAAAGTGGGTGCCTAAAGTGCATGTTGAAAGCTAGATACGGCTCATGGCATGTGCAAAACCAACATTTCTGCACACAACTGGCATTTGCAAAGTAAAATGTATAAACTGGCCTTGAAACCAGTACGTAGGCAAGCAGCCACCTGATCTGCCTGCAGACAGACCACGAACTACCATGGGAATTATACTACGGCCTCCTAGAAGAAAACTTTCTAGTGCTAGAATACAAGTCCAAAAAGGAGTCTGTACATTTTAGAATGAAAACATATTTTATTCACTAAGTTGGTTTTGAAATCAAGGCTTGAGTTTTGTTTCATCTACCTGCCTTGGTCAGCTTCAGGTAGGAACACTTCAGAAATAAAGTACTTGTTTTTATATAGATCTATCTGACACTTGTACCAGGTGTGTTGATAGAAACTTTACAGTAAGATAGTCTGCCTTATATCCATACATATAGGGGTATTCATAGAGTAGGTTTACTCCATTTCCCCTCTGTGTCACATTGAGAAGTAGTACATGGTGGTCCATCAGGCAGTCTTTCTGTTAGAATGGGGTGCATACTACAGCAAGTTTGAGAACATCTGGCATTCCCTTGACAATACCCAGGGAATACTGCAAATGCTGCAAAATTATTAGCTATAAAGGCAATTGGAAAGTTTTTAAGCATCATCATTGTACTAGCATTAACAGTGATGTGCATGTCAATGTTTATTTTTTTAAAAAATAAGCAGATGATCTGATAGTGAAAGATACTCCAATACAGTCAAAGAAAAAGTTTGAGGTGATTTTTTTTAAACTCTCCTACACATCTCTGCTTTCTATTCCCAGCACCACTGGAGGAATTGGAATGGATAGTGAAAATAAATTGACTGCTTGTTGGATAGTATTGTAGAGTTTCTCCAGTTACAGATGGTCATTGGCCAAAGCAAAATGTTAAGGTGCCACTGGAGATTTCTTGTACTACACTGATGACCATGGGGAAACGTGAGAGTTCATGAAAAGCTATTTGATTAGCAAGACCAGTTTTAAAATAATGCGGGTCAGGTTTACAAGGTGAGGGCACATTTAGTTAGAGTCAACTTTTAAATGAAAAGAAAGATTAGGGATGCGGGAAATAAAATATTACTGCAGAGGTCATCTGGACTCATTTCAGAAGTAGCTTGAGGTTAGTCTTTGATTTCCTGAAGGATGGGGAATGTCACATTTTAGAGGCCACGAGGTGCCACAGAAGATCAAAGTCATAGTTCAATATAACAATTATGGAAGCACTGCATACTCAGACATTTATGCCTAAACTTCTCATCTAATACAAAATCAAGATAACAGAATGTGTGCTATGTAGCTCTATTGGGGGGTAGGGGAGTGGCATTGAGTATGGAAGTTCTCTCTCTTTGCCAGGATAACGGGAGCATGTTTTTCAATACATACAAAACCTTCCATGGACTCTCACTACAAGAGGGTGAAAATAGAAGGGTCTATGTAGCAGGGGATCTGCCAGTCCCAACCCTGTCAGCACTTGCTGGAATGCAGGGAACCCCAACAAAGCTGAATTCTGTACTACGGAAGGGGAAAGCATAGGGATTTCATAGTATATCCTTCATGGTGCCTCTTGAATCATGCTCCTCAACGCCCACCTTGAAAAGTAGAACTTCACTGGTTCTTCTGCCAAGCACTGCAGAGGAAAAGGCAAGATTTTCCCCATACTGCTTAATTATACTAACAGGAGCGCCAAAAAAACATAACACAACCCAGGTTACCCACAATACACGAGAACATTAATTCACATCCTCAATCCAGCCACAGTCATAAATCTTGATACCAAACCAGGGCATAACCTATGGGATAAATATATACTATGTATTAAGTTGTACTGGTTGAGGACTTGATGGCTCAGGGGATTGGGTAAAAAGGCTGTGCATTTGGGTCCCATAGGAACCCGACTAAACACAAATATTTAGATAAGCTTGGGATGTGTCAGTATTTCAATTAGAGTTTACAGTTTCTATGGACTTTTTTGTGGGGAGATGTTCAGGAATTAATTTACAGGGCTAGTAAAAGTGTGATCTGTATGACTTTAAGTATTCTCTGACCCATTAAAGAAGCTAGTAAAAAACAAACCCCAACTACTTATACAAATAAACACAAATACAAGTAACTACAACCCACATACAGCCCTAATTGCCAAAGGAATATGGAAGCTTTTATCTTGAAAAATGCCCTTATGTCTATCCATCTTACCTATCCATCCACATATCCTCCCCACCTCACAGTATCTTACTATCTTTCCACCATAAAAGTCCAGTTTATTGCATTCTTTGCCTGAGGGAATGTTTCTTTGTGTCATTGTCATTTTCCCCCTTGTCCTGTCCTGAACACTCTCATTCTTCTGCTACTTTCTTTTCCCATACAGCTGTTTTTTGTTCCTATCTCAAACACTAAACCCAATCATCTGATTCTTTGAATCCTGAGGTTTGAATGAGAGTTGGGTGCTTTAGAGTTTTGATTTAAATAAACA